TTTGTTCTTTGTCAGAATCTCTGCTTTAAATTGTTTGCATTCAACGATAAAGTAAGTACAATCTTGTTCTTTTTTAAATTAACCAAGATACGTGACCTTGAATAGATCGTCATTCAAAAAATTTCATGCAAATTTTGATTTCTTCCAGAACGATAGGTCGCGATGCAATCTGTTATTCTCGTAAGTGACACACACGACACAGTCAAATCGAGGAGAACATTTTCCAGACGATGCGTTTCAAAGTACATCGATTCAGAACATTTTCAATGTCTCCCTCTTTCTCTCTCTCTCTATCACTTATTCGCTGGTATCTTCTACCAGCACTACTACTATCACCACCACCACCACCACCACCACCACCACCATCGTCGTCGTCGTCGTCGTCGTCGTCGTCGTCAACTTGGCTCGGCTTATTTGATTAAGGTGCATTGAAGGCGCCATGCATATAATCGTATAAATTGCTTTTGATGCGAGAGAGTACAGCTTTCCACCCACCCCTTCGCCACCTTCCTACGTGGATGAAAGTCACGTTCTCTCTCACTCCCTTCACCTTTTACCTTTTTCTTTACTCTCATTTTCTCTCTCATTTTCTCTCTCATCCTCTCTCTATTTCCCCAAGTCTTCCAAGTTTGAAAGGAACGCGCGCACGATATATTGCGCGCAACAAATAAAATACCGTTCGTGCCATGAAAAGTCACCGCTGCTACGAGACGAGAACGCAGAGTGTGAAAGCCGTTTCTCATCGACAATGCCATGAAAGAATGTCGATACCCGTTCATTTCTGTACTAGAGGAGGGAAACATTTCTTCTTTTTTTTTCTTCCCTCTTTTCTTCCTTTCTTCCTTTTTTATTGGGATCGCGAGAAAGAGAATATATAGAAACGAATGGCCAAGTGAAAAGAGGAACCTCCAGAGTTACTCTAACGGTATTCAAAGTTTCTATTCGTGAGAGTGAGCGCGAACACGTTCACGTTCGTGTTCGAGTTATGACGGATTCGCGATTGAAGCTGCATCTTTAAAACATGAACACACATTCGGCCCGATGGAATATACGAAGACATCCTTCAAGAGTATATTTCTTTCCTTCTTTCTTTTTTTCTTTTTTTATCTTTTACAAGGGCTTGTATTTGAGGTCGAGAAAAATAGTTTGGGTTGGAGAAATCAAATCGTTGAAGGGTGCGTTGAACTACTTACCTATACAATTTTAAAGACAAATTTATATAGGTCAACACGAATACCAAAATAATTTACACTTACTTGTCTGTCATTATTAATGAACAACGATAAAAGTTACATGTTGTATTTACATTTAGAAGATCAATCTAATAATCTTACGAAGGAAATAGTCTGGACCGATCGAAGAGCTAATCGAGCGTGAATTTGACCATCGATTCCGTTTCCTATCGTCGTCTTCAGAACTTGACAAATATCACCCTATCTATTGCCAAACTTACTTCCTATCTCAACGCATCGAAGGGCAAGTTTACGCGTTCTAAAATAAAATTTCTATTTAATTTTCTTTTCAAAAGTTGAAATCTCAAAGTTACGTTAGCGATTAAAATATCAAATAACGTTACGTTGTAAAACAAAATCTATAGTCGTTGGAAATAAAGGTATGAAAAATTGCAAGCTCATTATGTGTATAACCAATGCTATAATAAATGTCTATGATCAAATAGAAACATTTGAAATAGATCGAAAATTCATGATCGTATTAACGCGTTCTCCACCTCTGCACCCACCGATAGCGTCATTGAAGAGAATCTCGAAGAGAGAACGCCTGTATCCTGCAGTTTGTCCTGATATTGCAGTTTGACTAACGCAACTACAAAGTACGGTCTTGCATACACAAGCAAAGCAGCAGCAACAGCAGCAGCAGAAGTAGAAGCAGCAGAAGCAGCAGTAGTCAGCACAGTGTTCGAGGGAAGTATAAAATGTCAATACGTTTACCGGCGACCCATTGTTGAACTTGATCTATGTTTATGGGCGTGACGGCAGAGCCTAGGTCGCCGTCGCGTTGCATATACGAAAACGAAACCGACTGGAAGCACGAGTATTTCTTTCTATAATGTTCCGTCTGTAATGGCACAAAGGCGGTCGTCCTCGTTCCTAACTTGTGTAAATTTGAATACACATATACGTATATACAATTTCGAGATTGGCGATGAGTTTCGTTCGCGGGAATCCTCGATACGTATAAATAAATCTTTTTTTGATTGATTTCAAAACATATACCTTTGGAAATGCATATATCATGACGCACGTGTTACTTCCTCCTTTCATTTATATTTTGATTTTTTATCGCTCAATAACCTAACGATCAAATTCTTATCTCGCTCGATTAAAATTATCCGAATAAAGAAATGTATTCAAATGAAGGTAAGAATAAAAGGAGAATTTTCTTCGATATTACGAATGGGCTTTTGAGCAAAGGTAGAGATAGGAAGAGAGAAAGGGTAATACCGGAGAAGAAGGGCTGAGGCGTCGGAGACTCCACAAGGGAATAAAACCTGATTTAGGACTGCGGTCGAGAAATCTCTCAAGGGACCCTCTGAGCTGACCACCGTGCACTCACTTCGCTTTCCAGTGTCCCTCCGAGTACGATCCTCTCGTAGCGCTATAGTCTGCGCTTCCGCCTCACTATCTCTCTCTCTCTCTCTCTCTCTCTCCCTACAACGTCCAACACGTCCGATGTCCCCTGTGTCCCTCGATGCCAACAAGTGCGACTCTTTACCAACATCGCGTTCGAAATGCATTCGGAATACTAAGGAACTCTCCGGGGTGTTATCCGAGAATACGGTTTGATAAAGAGAGAGAGAAATAGAGAGAAAGAGAGAGGGAGGGGGAAAGATGAAAGACTCTTCAAGTAGCCGAGAAAACACGTAACTACAAGCTCGTCTACAAATTGCCTATGAATATCTTTAAACCCTCTTTTCCATCTCCTCTCGCGTTTGGGAGAGGTTGGCCAACTCGGCCGATCGGTTCCATCAAAAATGTATTCCGAGCGTGTTAGGAGAATCAAATTTCGCGAGGCCGACGAGATCCATTAAACGACGCGTTCGGCGTCACTGCCGATCGATTCGAAAGAGGAAAGAGGCAGGAAAGAGGGAGAAGAGAGCTTCTTCTTCTTCTTCTCCCTTCGTCCCTCTCTTTCACGATCGTTGGCTCCGTCAAGCGTTTCGAGTACGTTTTCAAATTCTACGAGAAGGAAGAAGAGGAGGAGGAGCAAGAGGATATCGGTCGTCTATTCCCTTTAAAAAACGATACGAGAAATCTCATGATTTTTCTTCGAGAAAAAATGAGAGAGGACTTTTGCGTCAATGATTGGTGAATCGTAATATATGTTTGCTCTTATGATATCTTCTTTCCTCAAGTGTTGGTAGAGGAAAATATTTAGATCAACAGTTAAAGAGATCATCTAATGAAGTACTCAAATGTAATATGAGATATTAAATAATAAAAAGAGATTTTATTAGTAGAAAAGAAAAAATCCGAAAAATCATTAGACGAAGAACCCAAGAGTGAGTATTAGATAGAGAGAGGAAGGAAGGAAGGAAGGAAGACGCTCCTGGCACAGCCTAGCGTGTAGTTTACTACGTGCCTGCCTGTCGGGGCATCCCGTGACCGTGGTCTAGCTTAAGGATTCGGGTCAGGCTGTAACCTGCCTCGATTGCAAATACAGAGGAGAAACACAGCTCTTGGAAGCGCTGCCAAAACCAAAACTCAAGTAGTACTACTAGCCAGTGGCGGATTTCCGCACAGGCGCACAAGGCGCGCGCCTGGGGCCTCTTAAATCAAAGGGCCCTCTAATCTCTCATCTCAAAATAAAAAGATAATTGTTTCTTCCTTTTAAATGTCAACCTCATATAACCGTTATCAAATAAAACTATTATTTATTGCGACATGTTCATTACTCAAATTAAATTGCATCTGGGATTTCTCGAGTGTTAAATCCGCCACTGCAACTACCTGCAATACCAATACTCTTCCATGTGTTACCACTAAAATGCAAAACTTTAATCGGATTCCTTTTCTCTCTCTCTCTCTCCCTTTTTATTCTACTATTTCTCCCTCAAAATAAGCAATATAGTACCGTGTTACGAAATTTGACTTGGGAAAGTATTCGTGCGAAATATCACCTTATGTTTTGCATCGACGCAAAGCATTGCTTCTTTCAGTTTCTTTTTCGAGTCTATATATGTATTACATATACACATATATATAATACATGCGCATATACGAGTACGAATAGAGGAACATATACCTTGACTCCCGTAAAATGGATCGTCGAAACGCGATAGTAGAGAGAAGACGGTCGCCCGAGATAAGAGAATAGATTGTACAAAATAGAAAATAATATACTTTTATATCAAGACGTATCTTTGGGTATTGTTAAACAACGGATCGATCTATCGCTAGGAAGTTTCTTCTATGCAACGTTATTTTTTGTTCTCTTTTCCCCTTTTTTTAAGATCCTTATCGCGTGAAAGATGTTGAAACGGTGAATCGTTGGAAAACGAATTCTTCGTAAGAATGTTGGAAAAGCACGCGACGTTAGGGAAAAATAGCACGCACTTTGTCACCGGATATGAATCCTATTGAGCATACTTAGAATATGCCCTGGCAAAAGCTCGCGGCTGATGCAAGAATGCGAACGACGACGATGACGACGACAACGAAGCGGCATAAGCTCACGTTGGTTGCTCCAGAGAGTCACTGAAGAATGGGCCAGCATACCGTAAGTTCTTCGCCATCTTTTTTAATGCACGCGCTGTCATGCGGCACCGGTATGAGTGAGTAGTAGTTGGAACTTGCGAATATTAAAAGTACTTTTTGAGAGAGAGCTTTCTCGAGCATGCGCCCGCGCTCTCGCCTATTTCATAACACTACGATATAACTTGGAAAACGTAAATGCAATTCTACTGCAAAACTATTTGCATATAATAATAAGAAAATAATAATGGAATGATCCTGAATCGATCGCGAGTGAAAATAGCGTACCTGGCTGATAAAGGTAGAGGTCCGCGGCACGCGGCCACACGATCGCCGAGCGCTCCACGCTGCCTGTTTGATTCCGCGTGTTTGCGGATCCCGGAAATCCTATGAAGAGAGACGAAGAAAAATAATAGTTTTCACAAGGCACAATAACGCACGAGAAAGAAGAAGAATAAGAAGAAGAAGAAGAAGAAGAAGAAGTAGAGGTAGTAGTAGTAGTAGTAGCAGTAGTAATAGTAGTAGTAGTAGTAGCAGTAGTAGAAGAAATAGTAGTAGTAGAAGAAATAGTAGTAGTAGAAGAAGTAGAAGAAACTAAACTAAATGGTCAGTTTTCTTTTCTTCGAGATATCGAGAAAAAACTTGTCTCGACGAGTGTCTCTTCTTCTTTTTTTCGCTAATCGTTCCGTAACATGTCCATAGAAAATCTATGACGTTTGATAAGCGTCATCTTAATCGTCATCGTCGTAATCATTCCTTTTCTTCTTTAATTCGATAGATTAAAGGTATCGACAACGATTCGAAGGAACAAACAAACAAACACTTTATTTATTCATTAATTAAAGCACGTGAACACAGGAGAGAAATCAATGATGATGACGACGACACACGTTCGTAGCAAAGTAGCAAGTGTCTATGTTGTCCAACCACGTGTTCGTTTTCTCTCTCCCTCGATTATTTCTTTCTCACTTTTGGTAATATTTGAGTCGTAGAAAAAAGTAACTATAAATCACGACAAAAGGATTAACGTTCTCTCGCACAGGCGCGCGCGCGCGCCCACGCAACACGCGGTTTGAGAAAACGAGTGGTGCACCACTGTATGTTATTCGCGTGCTAGGTATCAGCCGTTCTGGAGGAATTGACCGCGTGGTTATAACCACAGCTTCCAATTGTCCTCGTCGTTTTCCTTCTATTCGTTGTCAACTCTGTCCTCGTCGTCGTCCTCGTACTCGTCGTTGTAGTCGTCGTCGTCGTCGTCGTCGTCGTCGTCGTCCTTGTCGTCCTCGTCCTTGTCGTCGTCGGCGTACTCATCAAGAAGATACAACGTGGAAAAGTTCAACCACCACCAACCAACCAACCAACCAACTACCACCAATTACCACAACCAACCACCAAAGACCGGCTTTTTATTTAATCTTCATACAAAGTTAACCAACTAATTATCAACGTTATTTGATTTATTTCATTTTATCTCTCCCTTGTTCTCCCTCTTTCTCTCTCTCTCTCTCTATTTTTCTTACTTTGTTCAACTCGAGGGGTTAGATAAGATAGATATGCTTCGCACCAACCTTCGGCTCCGTTCTTCGCGTCCTTTTCCTGAGAGAACAACAACACGTCAGCCAAATGCAATTCCCCCCACCCCCCCTTTAACTCAACTCAACACCGGCAACGATAATCGCGAATAATGTACATCGACGAACAACGACACAATTCGTAAAAGGAACTAGGAAAACGCACATGTAAATAATTTCAACTACGTTCGAGGAAATTAAAAATTTGGAAGGAAAGAAAAAAAAAGAAAGAAAAAAAAAAGAAAGAAAGAAAGGGGGGAGAGAAAGTAAAAAACAAAGACGAATGGAAAAGCACGCGCACGCACACACAGGGTTAGACGACGACGACGACGACACAAAAACGTGTGGAATGGTTTTGGGCTACGAAATAAAAATATAAAGAAACAAAAAGTAAAACTTTAGCGTTCGCAGGTTAATCGTAATCCGAGGAAAAATAATAAAACGATTTAAAGATGGAGAAAAAGAAAGAGAGAGAGAAGAGAGAGAGATAGAGAGAGAGAGAGAAAGTGGGAACTAGCGCACTCGGCAACGACGCCACCTCCTTTGGCAAAACGTGGAGATGGTGTACACTGCGGTCGCTCTCCGCACACTGAGGATAGCTGACGTCACGAGCCCACCACGCGGAGGTGGTCTCGCGAGCGACCGCTTCGCGCCGGCGCCCGCGGCGCTGCAATCCCTATAGGCATACGACACGATATACCTTTCCCGTTCTCTATGCCGGTATCACTGTATATACTTAGCTAAAGCCAGACCTATTCCGTTCCACCTACGCTTTAACCGTCGACGGAGGAGCTAACACGTAATGGGGTTTTACCTTACGCGACGAAGGATACGCGACGAAGGATACGCGACGAAGAGATCATGCCACTACCAACGTGTTTCGACCTAAGTATTCTTCCATCAACTCCTTATAATAATAGATTTGTCAAATATTTCCTCTCCTAGGATTTAAACCGATCTTACAATTAGAGAATCATCATACTTTCAAATGATTACATTTTTAATAAATAATTGTAAGTATCATAGGATGGGAAAGAAATTAGAATTCCAAGGACGAGATTATTCTTTCTTTTTCCTTCGGTTTAAGTAATAAAATACAGTTTCCACGCGAGGTCTCTGAAAGAAAAGATCGGGAGTGGCTCGTTCCCGCGGTGTTAGCCACGATCCTTCGAGTGATCTTCTACAGGCAGAAAACCACGAAGGAACGGGGAATTTCTCGAGGAGAAAGCTTTGGGGGAGAGTAGTAGTAGTAGTCCTTCCTTTCCCTGGGTCCGTCGTTAAGGGGGTGGAAAGTTTTGCCTCCGAGAGTTTCAAACTAACTCGGTTAACTCGAAAAGAGTAAGGAACGACGACGACAACGATGACGACGACGACAACGACGACGATGAAGAATCAACGAAAGATAAAAATGACGTTGTGTATCTTAACGATTGGATTTATCTAACACCAAGTCATAGATCTGTGATGTGTTATCCCATAATCATTGACAAACTAATACAAAAAATTGTATAAGTATCGATTGTGTGGTAAAAAAGAAAAAGCAAAAATATCGTGTTCATGAAGATCAAAAAGAATGGATAGGCTTAAACATGAAAGGAAAGCAATCGTAACGATTGTCGACCGGTCTCATAGGTAGGACACTTGTTTTAAGTACGTATACCGGACGTATATGTAGGTTGATGCGTCAAAGCAAAAATGTACAAAACCAGAAAGAAACAGAGAGAGAGAGAGGGATGGAGCGAATGAAACAAAAGGTAAAAAAAGAAAAAAGAAAAAAGCAGTGCGAGAAAAAGCGTCCTCCCGTCATCTCTCTTTATTTCTATCTCTCACTCCCTCCTCTCTATCACTTTCTTGACTCTTTCCCTTTTCCTCTCGGTCGTTGGTTCCGTTGGGTGGGCTACTGGTAGAAGGTGGATGGAAATCAATAGCCCTGAATAATGAACCCCAAGGCAGCACCCTCGCTCCGCTCTCCACGGTCTGGAGCAGTCTCTCATGCATCCTCTCGTTCCGGAGAGAAAGCGAGAGGAGTAAAAGGTATGGTAGGAGAGACAGGAATGAGAGAGGAACAGGGAAGAAGGGTGTATACATATATAAAGATGTGTATATGTATATACACAGAGAGATCTATATATTAGTCTATCTTTCCTCCTTCATCCAACCGTTCTCTTCTTCAGCAAGCAAAGCCTACCGAGCCTCCTCCTTTTCCTCCTTCTCCTCCTACTGTAGGATGTTCGAAAGGAGGTGTTTGTGTCCTCTCTCCTAGCCCCCAACTTTACTACGAGACCCCCTCGAACTCAATTCGGATAACCGACGGAAGAGAAGGAGAAGCGCAGGAGGACACGGAAAATGATTACCCTCTACCCCTTCTCGTCGTCGTCGTCGTCGTCGTCGTCGTTCTCCTCCTCCTCCTCCTCCTCCTCCACCTCACCCTTCCTTCCTTCGTTCTCTTCCTCTGCCTCTCTTTCGTCTTCTCCAGGACGGATCGATGGTCGTCGAGCACCTTGGTTCGTGATTCTCTTGGATTCGGATCAATACCTACTTTAGTATTGCAATAAAATGCTCAAACAGAGCGTTATGATAGTCCGCTCTCCTATCGAGTGCCCATCGAAGAAACGATTTGGCGAGCAGTAAATTTATTTACGATTGACTCCTGACGTAAACGATGTACGTCGTTATGATCCGCGGAAACGATGACATCCGTTGATGAAATGTTTTTCATCGAATAAATCGAACGGTTAAATGACGAGAAAGAAGAATATTTTATTAGCATAATTTAGATATCCCATGAAACATTAATTTATCTTATTCTTTTAATTGTTGTTTTGGCAATGCCGATTTCGTTTGGACAAGATTTGTAAGAAAATTTCTTTCTGATGTCTTCATCTGGCAACGGGGTACGGCCACTACGACCGGTTGAATAAATAGACATGCCAATTTACATAGTCGTTAACGGGTATGGTTGGCAAGTCCTTATCGACTACTGTAGTTGGTGAGTACGGCTGAACCTCCTGACCTAGCCAACGCGTTCCACGTTATTCCTACACCTTCCTCCCCCACTTGCTCATACCTTACCATCGGCAAGGATCCCAATTGGTTATATACCACCTTGGATCCCCGCGATACTCCTCTCGCTAAACTAAAACGCTTATTAAAGATCGATCGGGGACACTGCGGAAGCTCTTCGGATGCATTAACGAATTGAAAATAACGAAAGGGATGCGGATCTTCACTTGGCTCGTAACGTGTCGTCTCCGATGATTTAAAGAGAGAGAGAGAGAGAGAGAGAGAATAAACGTCTTTTTAATCCCGTTTTTTAACATTTACATGATATTATTCGAAAAACGAGGAAAATTTCTATCATCGTTCGCGTGAAATATCAGAAACTTTAAATTCAACCGGGACTGGGAGAATAAATTTGAGTCTGTAAGTTTTGACAAGGGCAAAAACAACGGCAACACTAAGGTCTCGTTTTTCTTTCCTTTTTGTACAGGTAAAAGAATTCAAATGTCGTTGATGTAGTAGTCGATTTCAAATCCAAGGAGGATTTTCGTAAGAACGAACCAGGAAGAACCGGGGAAGAACGAAGAAGCTACGCTAGAAAATGTATCGGCAGCTTATGTTTCTTCCCATCTCAAGAAGAATCCTTCTTCTCCGCGAGCACCACCGTGCGCTCCAAGCCTCGTTGGGAATTTCTATTCTTCGCATTCGACGGTCCGGAATTTTTCGAGGACGGCTTCTTCTCTTTCCGACATACCCTCCTCTTCTCCCCCTACTTGGAGCATCAGCATCAGCCTCATTCTCAACCACAACGCGAGAGTGTAATTTTAGTTTGATGCTGAGAAAGGAAGAAAGAAGAAGAAGAAGAAGAAGAAGAAAAGTAAGAAAGCAAGAAATAAAGAAAACAGCGAGAAAAAGCTCGGTGCACGCCTATTTCTTTCTTTTTCTTTTCAATGCAATAATGGAAGAAGAGAGAAAAGAGAGAGAGAGAGAGAGAAAGAGAGAGAGAGTAGCCAAAAGGCGCATTACTGACAATGAGAGGAAGAAGACTACACGATCCGTATACACTTCTGCCACCCCTTATTTTCCTTTACACGGACTCGCCTAGCCTCCGATCGAGACAAAGCCGGTGGTATTACCTTATTTCCCCAGCGTCTAGCTTCTTCCTATAGCACAAATCCTTCTTACGCGGATGCACAACCCCTCTTATTCGAGAGAAACAGAGACAACGAGCATCACTCTTATATCGTCCAATCCTCTCTCTTTCTTATACTTCCCATGAAAATCGCTCTTAACGTTTGCGTAACGACGTCTTTGTTTCCGGCAGATCGATGTCAAGAAAGTGTGCTACAAGATCAAACGAAATGTCAGATACTTCTAAGATACTTCTTCGTAAATCTTTGAATCACTTCTACATCGACAGATACATTCTGAAAAAATATCTTTTGCAAGATTAAAATTAACTTTAAATAGAATACAATATTATCGCGTAACGCTAGACCGATTTTGTGGTTGCAACGAAGAATAAAAAAAAAAAAAGAAAAAAAAAACAAGAAAGAGAAAAATGGAGAGTAAGTTTGTGCTCTCTTTTTGAGGGAGACGAAAAAGTAAAGGATAAAGAGAAGAGAATCGTGGAACAAAAGAAAAAAACGGAGTAGCAAAAAAACGAAAGAAAAAAACAAGAAGTACCTACACCGAGAAAAAGAGAGAGAGAGAGAGAGAGAGAGAGAAAGGGAAGAATGGAGAGCAGTGGCAAAAAATGGGATAACACAGGTCCGTGTAGGAGAACGGACAGGCAGACAAGACTCATGCACCTTGTGTTCCGTGAGGGGAAAATTACGGCTGGATTGGAGGGATGAGGGATGAGGAAAGCTTCGCTGGCATTGTAATGGCGTGTGCCATGGTCCCCATGTGCCAGCCACCCCAACAGCTGAGACCTCTGTACACTGCTGTTAAATACGGTGAAACGAACAGGCCGCTCGCGAGAGTTAAACTCGTAGTTATCGCTCAAATCGATATACGCGCGAATCGATAGACTGTGCTTTCTCTTTAAAATCTACCCTAGTAGCGCGCAGAGTACGATCGCCATGCTAAAAGGTGGCAGTGCTTTGATTCTCTCTCTCTCTCTCTCTTTCTCTCTCACTCTCTGTCTCCCCCCTTTATCTTCATCGACCACTCCAAACCAAAGCAAACCAAACTAAACCAAACTGAACCGAACCAAACCAAATCTATTCCTGTAGTCGACAACGAAATCAAAAGTTTTATTCGATTCTCCAGGGGCCAACGACAAGATCTATTAGAAATTCTCCCCAATCGAATCAATTGTTTATCGATTTCTATAATACATCCAGGTAGTGGGTCATTGTTTTATTTTTACGAGTCTCTACCTGTGTTTTAAATATTACGATGAAAATCAATTGTACTTCTAACTCATCGTAAGTCGAAAGTCCTTGCAGCGTAATTAATAAAAAGTATTGAAAAAAGTACAAGTGAAATTGAAAGAATTAAAATAAGGTTCTCGGTAAGATCTACAAATCGCAATTATTCTCTTTCCTTCTTCGATAAGGATACGGTTCATTTGC